AGCATACATTATACGAAGTTATACGACCGGGGGCTCACCTCGTCCTCCCGCTGTCTGGAGAGACGCGAGCCTGCCGGGAGCGGGCGGGAAGGTGCGGCTGCGAGAGCCCGGCGGCCGCCCGGGGACGGAGGCAGACCGCCGGCCACCGCCGCCTCCGGGAGAGCAGCGGGAAGCCGAGGCCACCAGCTCCGGGGGCAGCACGTGGGGGAGGGGAGGCCGCCCGAGCTGACCTCGTGACGCACAGGACCACCCCGAGAGGTGCATCCTGCCCTAGCCCCGCTCCTAGGTGAAGACTGGGAGCCTCAAAAGTTAGGTGACTTCCTCGCGGCCAGCAAGGGGCAAGGCTGGGCTGGAACCAGGTCCTTCTGACTCTGAAGCCCCAGCTCCAACCACTGTGCAGCCTGTCACACTCCGCATCTCAGCGAAATGTGAGCCGGGACCAGCTGTCGCCTGCAGTCTGGACTCAAACCGAGGTCTGCTGCACCACAAAGCCCGTGATCTCACCACTGCCCCACCAGTCCCCTGCATTCTGACCTGGAAGTGATCAGCCCTCACCTCCCACGGGTGAACTAGTCTTGGTTGGCCCAGCAGCTCGTGAACAGAGGCAAGGCTCAGGCGAGCCCACCTAGCGAGGCATGTCTGAGCTACTGAGTCAGTTCTGCAGGCCAGATGTCAAGGTGAGGGGGGCTAGGGTGCATTTTCTCAGTCCTTCTCTTCAGTTCTCATCCCCGCAGACTTCTCCCTCCCAGAATGACCTAAACACCAGCAGCCCCGGTCTCTCTGCTGACTGGCGTGCACCCTGACCCAATGACATCCCTGCGCGGCTGTTGCCCAACTATCCCCAGACTCACAACTGAAGACCATCCATCAATCCCATCTAGAAGTCCAGCAATCCGATTAAAAACATATCCAAGAGACGATTGTTTGGTGTGGAAAAGGACCAAAATCCAGGAGGTGGATTTTGTTAACAATGATTTTAAATAAGTGGGTGCATTCCGTTGGGCCCAGGTAAGGCAGGGAGGCACTCACCATTGAGCTGCCCACCCCCTTCCTGTGTGCCCTAAGCCTTGCCCATTTGGGGTGATAGGCAGGGCTGTGTGCCAAGTGATTCTGGAAGGCGCTACAGCCCCTTTCACCAGGGATCCAGACAGGAGGAGGGGATCAGCCAGAACCAGAGTTCTTGACCCCAGGAGCCCAGGTTCTGAACCTGTCCAGTGTTCTGAATTCCTATTGGCCTCCCCAGCCATCCCTTGGGGCAAGACACCTGGGCCAGCTTCAGCAGACACCAAGAACATTGCACCCAGGTGTTTTTCCCCTTCTCCAACACTAAACAGAAACCTTGAAGGCAGGGATCACATACATCTTTTCATTTTGAATCTCCTATGCCTAGATAAATGCATGCAGTATGTTGCCTTAAGCACAGAGCAATGTGCCTTCATTTCTGCCACTTCCTGGTGTAAATTCACTTTGGGTAAATAAAGCAAAAGTGACAGTATCCTCCACTTCCTGCCCCTTCCCCTTCTCTGGTCACTTCTCCTCCTTGCCCTTGGGCCATGTGCTCTGGGGTTTGCTTCCTACCACCCCCATCCCCCACCGCTGCCCCCACCTGCCTCCCTTGTCTCCTGCTCCTTTAGCTCTGTTGTGGGTGGGTGTGGGGAAGGTACCAGATCCAAGGGAGGATCTCCCTCCTCAACTCCTCCCTGTCCTGGCCCCAGATTCTAAGCTTCATCTTGGACAAATTAAGAAAGCCCCTTTCCCTCGTTTTTGTTTGGCTGGTAGGTTAGATTTTGTGTGTGTGTGTGTGTGTGTGTGTGTGTGTGTGTGTGTGTGTGTGTGTGGCTTGTTTTGTTTTGTTAACTTTCTTTGACCAACTCCCAAGACAGAAATCAAAAACTGTGGAGAAGTCCAGAAACCCAGGTCTTAGATGTGGCTTCTGCTGCCATTCCACACATGATCAGATGCGAGTGCCTTCCATCCGCAAGTTGCAGCTTCCTTGTCTTGACAATGAAGTGGGGCTCAGAGGTCCCCTGTGACTCTTACGCCCGCACACCCTCTGAGCCTGCGTGAGCCTGGCCAGGACAGGAGAAGTTCTGCCCCTGGGACGAGAGGACACGGCATGGTGATTCAGAGGAGAGCCATTCTGAGCTCTGTCCTGCTTCTCCCCCACCTCAGGACTTTGGGGGATCCAGGAGGGATAGGGCGGGGATCCAGGGGGGATAGGGCCAGGGATGCAGAGAGGGGACAGAGGGGAGAATGAGAGCGAGTGAGATGGAGAGCAAAGAAAACCATCTCCTTAAAGCAAAAAGAAGTGCCATTAACATATAAAACAGCCAAGGGACATGGTTGGGGCTAACTGCTTTCCATCTGCTCCTTTCCCTCCACCCAGACGGACCCTGGGACAGCGTCCCTCTGCACAGTGCTGGAAGCTGGAATCTCCCCCTCCGCACATGCTTTTCTGCTCGGAGTCGACCACAGACTGGAAGCAAATGTTCACCCTCTAAAGATCAGTCCCTTCCATGTGTGTTTCTGACACTTCACCATTTCCTAGCACTTTCAAAGCTCATTATGTGTTGAATCCTTCAAAATACTCTGAAATAGACAAGCCAAAATTATCACCTCCCTGTCACAGGCATGAAACAGCTTGTGCCAGGTCAAGAGGGGGAAAGGAGAGGGAGGAAGGAGCATAGAACTAAATGTAAAGACTGACCAGACTTTCTCTTCTAATGCCATACTACTTAGGAGCAAACTAAAACCTTTACAGATGTCTGCCTTCCTATGTTTCTTTCATCTTGCCTTTCATTTTTATGTCCTTTTTCCTACAGTTCATAAGTTAGGATTGAGAGGAGGGGAGATTCATTTGTCTACCATGTCCCACCTACCGCTGCCAGGAGATCGTGCGCATCCGTGACGGGGTGGAGATTTGCAGCACCGGGACGAGGACATGGGAAGAGGGATACCCAGCCTCGAACCCTGCTTCTGCCTTAACTAAATGCCTGACTTCCTTATTATGGTTAAATTGTGTCTCCCCAAAATTCATATGCTGAAGTCCTAATTAAACCCCAGTTCCTCAGAATGTGACCTTATTTGGAGACAAGAGTCTTTACAGAGGTAGTCAAGTTGAACTGAGGGCATTAGCGTGGCTTCATCCAATATGACTTGTGTCCTTATTAAAAAGGGGAAATGGAGATACAGAGATATACACAGTGGGAAGATGGTGTGAAGAGACTCAGGGAGAAGAGGACCATCTGCAAGCTGAGGAGACAGGCCTGCAACAGACTCTTCCTTCACTGCCGGCAGAAGGAACCAGCCCTACCAGCACCTTGATTTCGGACTTCTAGCTTCCAGAACTGAGAGACGGTACATTTCTGTTGTTTAACCACCCAGTGTGTGGCACTTTGTTACAGCAGCCCTAGAAAACTAATACACTCCTCGAAATCACCTCTGAGATGGAAAATGGCCAGCTATCAATGATGTGAGACATTAAAATCAGGCTAAGATGTTTCAGGCAAAAAGAACCACATAAGATAAGAAATGAAGGTGCCTGTGGATCAGCTTGAGAAGGAGGAAACGTTTGTATACAGAAGGTGAACTTGACTGAGGAGTTTGGCCTTTATCTCGAGTACAGTGAGAAGGCCCTGAGGGATCCTGGAGCAGAGGCAGGAGAGCCAGGCTCTAGGCAGTAAATCTCAGAGCAACAGTCCGAGGAAGCAGGACAAGAGAAAAGCAGAAAGGCTAAGGAAACTGAAGGGTGCTACAAAATCCCAGCTTAGGTGGAGAGATAGCGAAAGTGGAGACGAGGGAGAGGGATGAAGAGACATCTCCCAAAGCGTTTTCCTGATTTCTCCTGTCTTACTAAAATATCATCCCAGATGGCATTCATTTGACATTTATGGAGCATCTACTATGTGCCAGACACTGTTTGAGGTGCTGAGAATATAGCAGGGAATAAAATAGATAAAAACTCCTGCCCTCAAAGAGCTGACATTCTAACAGGGAGAGACAGATGAAGAATAATAAACATAGCAAGCACATTAGTATGGAAGAATGTTGGAAGTGTGGAGTAAAAAGAGCGGGATAAGAAGGACAGTGCAGCTGCAAGTGCAGGGTCAGGAAAGGGCTCACTGAGCAGATGCTCAGAGGTAAGGGAGGGAGGCCCACAGAGCACTGGCAGGGCACGATCATTCTCTCTCCTTCACGCAAGAATGCTGTGGTCACAGTTTCATTCCTTCAATAAACAGATCATTAAGCAAAAGGGAATGAGGCATAGTTCCCGGTTGCAATTATTGAAAAAAGAGAAATTCGCTCCATCTCAAGTAGCATTCTGTGAGTGCCGATGAATACGTGTTGTATCATTTAATTCATTTATAATCAGTAGCTTAACTTATGAGAGCAAAGACACCCCTCATAACTTCCCTGTAACTATCAAACTTTATACAACTTATTGTAGAAACAAGATTGGAGAGTTTTTTAAGACGTGGACTCATAGTATTCCCTGAACATGATTTCACTTTTTCATTTTTCCTTGTATGCCTAACGTACATGCAATTTAGTGTATTGTAATCACAAAAACAGGACTTTGAGATTCGGTTTTTTCCACTTATCATCCATGTGTTGCAAGCATCTCTCTTTGGCATTTTGTAGTCTTTGTAATTGCTATTGATGATGAATGCATGTTATATGGGTCAGTTATTCTCATAGACTGCCATCTAAAGCAACGTTATTTTCAATGTCCCTGAATCCCAACACAGCACGTTGCAAGTAAGATCCATAGTTCAGTGGTTAGAACACTGGTCTTGTAAGCCAGGGGTCGCGAGTTCGACCCTCGCTGGGGCCTCTTGATGGGTGCTTCCTTTTTTTTTTTTAATTGTATCATTTAAATACAGAATGGAGACTCCGAAATGGAGGAGGTACTTCTGAAAACGTTACTTCCGGCAGTATTAAACGATAGTCCTGCTGACGTGCAGACGTCTGGAATCCTTCATGTGCTTAGAAATGATCCGGAAAAGAAAATCCCACAGCGCCACAAAAGGCAGGAAGTGGGGAAGGTCGGCTGGGCATTCCCGGCAGGGCCGGCCCGCGGCTGCAGCGGCGGAAGCGGCGGCGCGAGGGTCACGGCTCCAGCCCGGTGTTTTCTTCTAGGAGTTTTGTGGTTTTAGCTCTTATAGTTAAGTCTTTGATCCA